CAGAAATATAGTGAGTTATATGCTGGGTTGATGAGAATTAAAGCTTGATATATAGTAATAAAACTAGTGATCTAGAGATGAATAGATTGGTGTACGGAGCACAATATTTTCCTGCCACAGATTAGAGCGGGGATACTAGTCCATAAAAAGGGAAGTATACCATAAAATCTCCTTTTTCACTTGTTATGCATGAAGAGCTATAATATGTACAATTTGACAAACAAATGCATGAAAAGAATAAAGACCTTTCCTAACATCAAAAGGTTCCTGTCTTAGGCAAAGATTTGTCTTACCTTAAAAGATAATTGAACTAAAATTAAACTCAAATTCCTATGTGTGACAGTCCATGCCAGCTTCTATCAATGCTGATTTCAGTGACACTTCACCTGTTCCTGTAGATTTTGCATTTGACTTGCCTTTAAAAAATATATAGTTGTCAGATACTACAGAAGGCAAATAAAAGAGCCTATCTGTATTTGGGCCAGCAACTGAAATAAAAATTCCAAATTAGGTTTATAGATTAAAATGGCTTTTTAAAATTTATTTTCTTAATATGAATGAATTGCGTGAGTGAAACCAGTTTAGCGGTACCATTAATCAGGTCTTTTGTCTTGCTAATATAAATCAGTCAATAACAACAGATGGGCTGCACACTTTATTATGTGAAAATAAAGATGAATGTGACATACAGCAGAAGTAAACTTGCAGCTCAAAGTTACTGAGCACAGAAGGGGATTTGTTACAACAGGGGAGAACAATGCGTGCCTCGTATTTGCGTTTGATCAAGGTTGTAAGGGGAACTTGCTGCACATGACATTGACATAATGATTGGAAATCAAGTATGTGAATTTTTAGTGTTTGTTTGTATCTACACTTCCAGATCGCTCCCAAATGGTTTAATTAGCTTTTTTCCTCCAGACAGAAGAAAAAATGTCTAACTCTGTAGGAGAGTTAAATAAGAGAGATATAAAGTTTGCTGCTTTGTTGCGCCATCGGGAGGTGAACATTTTAAACAAGCAGTGATAACCGTCAGGAAGGTTCACCTCAAAGTCCCAGGCAAGATTTAACCCTTTGTACAGAGATGGAGCACGCAACGAGAGGCGACCCCATCCAAATTATGGGCCCAGCAGGCCACACAGTTATAACACAGTCATCCCTGAAAAACCTAAGGCAGCGTTTGGCCTTTGTACAGACAGAGGAATGACCTGTGTTCAACCAGAGCTGATCAGGAGGAACTTTGATGGAAGTGTTTATTAGGTTGTTAGAAACTGTGGCCTCGTGAAAACACAGATTCGTGAGATTGCTTCGGTTTTACCAAAAGTTCGTTTTGTAGAGAGTTGCAAAAAATCTCAACACAGTCAAATGTCCTATATTGACGTTTTCGGAGGTAAATATCTGTGTTGGATTTTTAAGAATATTTTGCTATATAATTACACTGCCATTATAATTATGCTCGCATGTTGCTGCAAGCATTACAGTGAAAGCATAACAGCGTATCAGTCTGATTAAAAAAAAATGAAATGCAAGACTTGGATCCAAGATGTGTGCTAAGGTTGATGGTTCAAAACCCTGTCCCAAATCAGCAGCCGAATCGGCCGACTGTCCTAAGCCGTGCCGCAGCTGTGCCTGTTGTGATGGGCAAGCCATCACAAGGGGATTTAAGGTTCTTCCTCTTCAAGGTGTCCTCGTCCCGAGAGGCGAGTACCGCCGCCCGGCACAGGGGAACCGCGGCTGCACACCCTGTCTACCTGCAAACCACCATCCTGCGTCTTCAGCCAGTGCGGCTGCGTGCCTGGGCGGGAGGGGAGCGGTGGTTTGCCTCCCCGCAGCAGCCGATCCCATCTCTTTGGGGAATGCAGGGAACACCAAGTGACTTCCCGCTGCGATTCGGGCTGATAAAGCCGCCTGTTACCTTTCAGCAGAGAACAGCAGGAGCGAGGGGCCCTGAATGCTAATGGCGGTAGGACTAGGTTTGCAGTGTGATTGGGGTTTTTTCTGCCAAATGCAGAAAAAACCAGTTATGGTTATATTCTGGTAGGTCCTCTTAAGAATCTGCTCTACAAAAAAAAGAACTCCAATGTTGCTACTAATAGCAACACTAAGAGGGCAGGGACTGAATGAACACACTCCAGCCCAAAAGATCTGTCTTAGCTACTACCTTAAATTTATTCTAAAAGTGCAGATTTTAAATGCCAATTTCCGGGGACAAGGCAACCTCTGCGCACTCTGTGTGACAGTTTGTGAATGGTTTCCATCTATATCCCTAACATTTAAGAGCGGTGCAGATGCCTCGTGATAGCAATGAGAAAGAGCGCGGAAAAATAAAGCTGGGCTTTATTATTGCTTAAGAAGAGTAAGGTGGAATTGTAGCAAGAAGCCAGTAACAAAGCTGATTTGTACCTGACTGCGGGATGCCAGGCTGTTGGAGAGAAACAGCTATCGCCACAATCAAAACGTAAGACTAGGTTGTGGCATACTGGGCAGTACTGTGAATCTACTTTAACATAAAAATAATATTTAAACTTTAGAAGCAGTTACCTTCAGGAGGGAAAGCCAAAGCCCACACACATTCTCCAGGCTGATTAAAGAAATAATTTTAAAAACCGTCTTTTTTCTTTTCTGCAGCTTGCTGATCCCTCCTTTTAGACTTTCTAGTTATATCTTGGATAAGATGCAGTTAATTGGTCAGGCAGCGTAAGTATTGTCTTTGATAATGTGCAGAAATCTAGTGATGAAAATAAATACATTTGTTCTTCCAGTCACCAGAAATTAGTGAAGCAATGCTTGTTTAATTATAAAACATATGTGTGCTTTGTTAGTTTCCATCTGTCTGCTCGCTGATTTGCAATTAAATGACCAGAAGAAAAAGATACGTCCTGTGGCAATTCAGGGAAAATGATTCATCTCTAATGCTTCTGTGTGTGGATGTCTATGGAGCAGCGTGTGCGAGAGGGAGAGGGAGGGAGTGGGGAAGAGGGGGAGATACGGATAGAAGGGGATGAGCAACGCTGAAAAGCCTCTTGCTTCTGTTCAAATATGTTTTGTTGTCATGAAACCAAATGTGGCCTCCCATTAACTTACCGTAACTTGTCTTTCTCTTTGGAAAAAAATGGGGAGCAAAATGGAGCAAGGAAGAAATACCTAATGAGGAGAGGAAATGGGTTTGCAGAAAAAGGAGGCTGGTGTGGTCAGAGTGAAAGGGAAACCGCAGGAAAAAAGGAAGAATGGGAAAGTGATAAAAATTAAATTTAATTTGAGTATTCGGAGATGATTAGTTGGAGACGGAAATAGAATTGCTATAGTATGTCACAGATTTTCCCTTTGCTAGAAAAATGTCAGGTCTTAGTTAGTGGCCCTTTCTTCTATCATTGAACCAATTCACTTCTATTAACTCTCAGGGAGTGATGCAGTAGTGAGTCAGGCCTGTTACTCTTTGTAAAATGAGACACCCAAAAAGGCAGGAGTATTTTTAAATTAATATAAAGGGAAAAAAAAATATTGGTGAACATACGTTCTCTTCATAAATAGTTCAAGAGGTTCACAAAATCTTTTGCTGTGCCAGGTATTCCCATCACTGATAAAGACGTACAGTCTACCTCCATACAGCTACATGATGGGTACCGTATTACCTTCTCCCCCTGTCTCCTTCATCTGTTCCTATTCTTTCTTGTCTTTCTGCAAAAGCAGTAGCTGGAAGGAGAGCCTTTCACGCCCCTTGTAATTCTGGACACAGCGTGCACAGGCATGTCTCAGGTACGGGGAGGTAGCTGTCTGACATTTCATCTTCATGAAGACTGGCAGGGAGAAGATAGCCAGCCTTCCGCAGTATTTTTAGTTTGATGTTCTGTGGTGGTTTGTTGATCGTCAGCAGCGTCCGTCACTGTGTATAATGATAACCGCTTCAGAGGCAGAAAGGGGGAGATTGAGTAAGGCGTTCAGGACTGTCAGCTTGCTGCTGGTGGATCTGTCAGTAGTTGGTGCCCCCCCACCCCTTTGCCGCTGGGAGCCTCTTGGATGTCCTTGTGCACTGACGGCAGGTGGGGAGGAGGGTGGGAAGAGGTTATTCTCCGCTGAATTGGTGCTTTCTGGTGTGGAAGACTTCTTCTGCAGAAAGGGGCAGAGGGGTTGCAAAGGGGGATTTGTGAAGAGGGAGGGAGAAAGGAAAGTATGTGTTAGGTGTTTTCAGTGTTGCCTCTTGTGCTTTGGATTCTTTTCCTCCTTCTCCAGACTTCTTACATCGACTTTGTTCATTACCAGCAGCACCAGAGAGGTGCAGGGGTTCCTCACGTCAATAGCATGCAGCCATGTTGGCCCAAAATGTCACCATCTCATAGCTGCTCTGCCCCATGTCCCCGCTCCCGATTCCTCTTCCATAGTGAGGACTGCCCAGACCAGTGTACTACAAACGAAATAAATAAAGCATAGCTTGGCACCTTCATTAGCAGTCTGAGCAAGAGAGTCAGAGTATGAACAAAGAGGCGCAGACTGGACTTGCATTTAGTCTTTTGCCCTTAGAGTAGATTTCAAATTGCTCATCTGAAACGAAAGGCGCTATTTCCTATTTGTACCAGCCTCAGCCAATACTAACTATGTGCATGCACTTGATTAAACGGTGCGATAAGTCACTATTGAAAAGTGTGACCTTGAAGCCTCCAAAAGTTTCTATTATTTCTTTTTACGGTTTTGCAGGCAACTCTCCCAAGCGCTAACATAATGCTTTATTGCTAGTATTGCCGGTGATGATAACAAAGGACTGTTCCCAGGCATATGAATGTGCACATCCCTGTCACATCACATAGAGGAAAGAGAGCTCAGGATGTGAAGAACAATTTCTTCTAGTCTGAAAACAGCAGTGCATTTAAGCCTCGGTCTAGGAATGCTCCAAGATAACATTTTATTCGAAAAGTACGCTCCTCCTGAAATTTTCAGAAAGTGCTTGTTAAGTGTTTGCCAGCTGAATTTCGGTTGTTTCATTTGTCCTTTATGTCTCTTCTCTACAGATGATGATTTTTTTCATGAACTTCCAGAAACTTTTCCATCTGACCCTCCAGAGCCATTGCCCCACTTCCTCATCGAACCCGAAGAGGCTTACATTGTGAAGAACAAACCCGTGAATCTGTACTGCAAAGCGAGCCCAGCCACGCAGATCTATTTTAAGTGCAACAGCGAATGGGTTCATCAGAAGGACCATGTGGTGGATGAGAGAGTAGATGAAACCTCTGGTGAGTTTGTGTTATGTCATGGAGGGAAAAGAATTAAAAAGCATTAATATCAAGCCCATCGTTGTAATCTAGCAGCTATTTCATATGGCAGCTACTTTTCTTTACTCTTGATACAGCTGTGAATTCTGTATCTGGCATTACTGAACATTAGCTGTCATAGCACAGAGGTGGTGTCTGCATCCAGGTCAATTAGTGAAACATGATTGTAGAGCGCCCTGCTCGAGTTTGAAACAAAAAAACCAGGGGAACAGTGCACAAACAAAATGGAATTGCTTTCTCAGCCAGGTCTACTCCCTGTTCACTTCCCCAGTGTCACAAATTCCCAGTGGTTGCGCTGTATCGTAGTCACAGACCAAGAACCACATTCTCCCCAAAGTGCCAAAGAGCAACTGGGTTGTTCCTAGAATGATGTTTTCTTGGGGAGATTTGAGAAAAAAAGGAGAAATTTAATCAGCTTCCAGCAAGAAAGAAGGAGAAAGCACACCTGGGCACAGTTTAGAGCAGTGTATTGATCCAGAGCAAGCACCTGGCTGTTATTCCATTACACTTTTCTGCCTGCTCCATAGAGCCTGTATGAAGGAGAACTACAGTAGGTTAGCAAGGAAAAGAAAAAAAAAAAAAAAGGCGAAGAGCCTCATCCTTCCTCAGTCAATACCAGAAATCCCATTGACATTCACGGAAGAAAAATAGGACCCTCATAGTACCAAAAAAAAAAAAAGGTTTAAAAACTTGCGTAATAAACCAGCATAAATCAAAGATATGATTGCTCCCATTTGGGAAGACTGGTAATCAATAGAGTTTGAGTCACATGCAAGGAGAGAAGTGGGACATACTGCTGTTTTGATGGCTCTGAGAAATAACTGGATACCAGGAAGGTACCTTTCATTTGGGAATTACACCACCACTTGGTCTAATTACTTACAAAAATAACTCCACCAGACAGATCTTGGAAGTCTCTTGTGACCTGGGTTTTATTTGTTTCAGCTCATTTATTTGCACAGAGATGAAAAGCATAAGCTTTTAATGGTACTGTGGTGCTCTCAGCCTGAAAAAGAGAAGGTGGGTGTACGAAGAAAGGCTGTAGAAAAAAATCTGAATTAAACTTTGGGCCTGTTTATTTGTTTGTAAGAATTGGCTTTTCCAACAAGTTGACTGCAGCAGAAAAACTAAAAAAAGAAATTCTTCTTACTTAATACATCTTCAATTTTTTTCATCCATGGGAGTCCACTGGAATGACGAAGGACAAGCAGGAGGGCTGTGTTAATTTTTTAAGCTTTTATTAACATCAGCATTCAGAATCATGAAAATGTTTTGCTACAGGTGAAATTTTTCACTACAGGTGAAAAATTCATTCTTTTTTCTCAAAAATCTCATTGTAGAAAAACTTCGTGATGCCATAAAGCAAATTGCATTCTACAAATGTAGAACACCAGTCCTGAAAAAGAGATGCGTCTGAATATATTAGAGGACAAATGTTTTGCATAACAATCAGCAGCAATTACATGCAAACGAAACCCATATCCAATTAAAGATTAACATAATCTACTGGAGTTTGGGGCGGGGGAGAGTGTCAAAAGCTGTGCACATCAGATTATTAGCACAAGAGCCACAAACCCAGTCACACTAATAGCTTGTTGAAATGAAACTGTCATCAGAACCTAAATTTGTCAGTCAACCTGGTTGTTGCCAAAAGGTTGGTTAATGCATGTCACGGTTGCAGTGTTCGTGCACCTTCTTGTAAGTAGACTGAGACTCTAGGGCGCATAGCACATAGTTAGTATAGAAATGGGTAAACAATGTAGTTCAGGTAGTGGTAATATCTTCTTCAAAGCAATAGAAGCTTGGGAAAATATATCCACTGCAGATGGAGCTGGAGAAAAAGTTGCAGGAGGCAGTGACTGTGAGGATTCATTCTGGTGCCTGAAGAAGGCGGTATCCGCTTGGCAGCTTGCACCAGTCAGGCTGGCAAAGCCCTTTTACTCTACCACTTTTGAGGCTATTTTGGTTTCATTTGCTATTTTTGGCTAGCTAGTGCAGTAGTTGTAACCTGGGGCACAGCAGTAGTGACTGAGCTGCTCAGAGGGTGGCGTAAGGACAGCAGCCCAAGCCTACGCTGCTGCTGGCTTCAGGTTTGCGGTTAGAGAGGCTGGAGAAATTGTCCACAAACCAGGTTAGGTCTAGCCTTTGCATGGGTAACCCGGGGCTCAAAGGGATCTCGGTTACACAGTGTTTCTGCTGGGTCAGTCGTGTAATCCCAGCACCTGAAAACTGGGTGCATTCTTCTTTCCTGATATTTTAGCATTCTTAAGGTCTGTTCTGCCTAAATACGAAGAAGAGCACCATGCTGAGGCGGCTTCTGCTGCCATTTTTGAACCAGGCATTCTCTTTAGAAAAGCAAAGCAAAGGAAAAGAAGACAAGCAATAAAATATGTGAGAGGAAGAAAGTAAAGGTCACCTGTGCTTTCTTTTCTAAAAGACGGGTAATCAGGAAGAAAGAGGACTAAAACACAGGTGTGATGCTAGCGGTACATCATCTTGGGATTGTAAATGATGCATGAAAGAGAGGAATAGGTTTTGATTTGCAAAAGATTATGTGTTCATGGATTTTGAGCCTGTGCCCAGGAATGAAATCTATGTAGAGATTATTAACTCTTCTTATAAGGCAAATTTGTTTCTGTCATTGATAAAACCAGAGACAACAGCACAGCAATAGCAGTGGCACAAGAGGTGGAATGAGAGTGCAGCCAAGCTCTCGTTGAAGAGAGCTGCTAGACAGAAATGGTGAATATATTAAAAAGGTTAATTTTTAAGAGAGGAAAATAAATATTTTTATCTTTTTCCTATGGATATATATTTTTTTTCTTTGTAACAGAGAGAAGGTACAAAATAAGAGTTATAGTTATATGCACTTTGCACTGTGGGTTATTTTTAAACAGTAGGTAAAACATTGCTGTGAAGAACACACACAGGGACTCTGTGGGAGTCGTTGCCTTCTGGTTGGAGAGGATGAGAACAGTAATAGTGACAGGGTGTTCTAGTACCATTTTATTTAATTAAATTAGCCTGAAGAGAGAGCCTTGCAAAAGAAATTCCAATGATCGAGTCCGAGAAGCCGGAAGCTTTACATAGAAGATCATTACATTCAGTTTTTTTAATCCTCAGACTCGCTGGAATGTTTTTTTCTTTACGGAAAAAGCTAAGCATTTTCATAAAGAAGTCAAATGAGTGCTTTGAAAATCTTTAGTGCACATCTTTGACTCTTTCATTTCCTATGTACGTGAAATACAAGGCAGGGCATGGTCTTTTTTATTTTTTTACTGGAGTATTTTCCCATTAATATGGAAAAATATATGTAAAGAATAAGAACACTGGTTTTAAAAAACAAAGATGAAAGTTGTTTTAAGGGAACACATTTGATTTTATGGCTGGCTGTCATAAAAGATATCAGCAACAAAAGTAAAAGGAACCCTGCAGAACTGATGCTTTTGGTGGCAAGAAAATTCCGATGTCACAGGGCAGGAAGCTCAATAGCATCAATAATTGTTAGAGCAATTTGTGCACATTTTCCAAATTACTGTACCTCTGAAAACGACTATGGCAAAAAGATTTTATTTTCCATGTGTGCTTTTTGTGGAGAAATATTTTCAGACACACATCTGCAGTGGTGGGAGAGTTGTGGATGTATAGCAAATCAGTGTCCTGCACCCTTTTCATTTGTCCAGAGGGACTAAACGCTGCTAAATCAAACCCCACATCCCAGTGATGTACAACAGAGAAAAATCAGGACCACAGGGACCTTGTTTTTGTCTTTTCAATTTGGATAGGCATTGTAATAGTTTCTCCATGACTATTAAGGTGAAATGATCTATAAAACCCCTCTTGCCCTCTGCAATGCCAGTGACATGTTCTTCTTCCCTCTCCTTCAAGCAAGGAGAAAACAACATTTGGGACTCTTCTAAGTGCTAATTAAGTAGACATATTGGGCAATTCAGCTGGCATTATTGTTTGCCTACACTTTCTGTCTTCTTTTGCTAGGATGCATAGGGAGAGGAGGGCTCAGGGAGTTTGCTGATGACCTCCTCTGTGTTCCCAAACAGCAGCAAGATGGAATAAGGACTCTTGAGCCTGGCCTGAGGCCCCAGCTAATGCGAAATGAACAGGCTTATCTGTGCAATCTCAGAGGAAAGGCGTGCTGAGGGAGGCTCTGTTACGGAGCAGGTGAAGTTGCCAATCCTTTTTCCCATGTCCTGCCTTCAGAAGCAGGCTCTCAGAAGACCTGATGTCCCCCAGGAGCATCCCCGGTGCCACCCAGCCTCCTTCAGCAAGGAGGACTTTCCCTTCAGCTGCCCCTTCAACTCTCTGCCTCCCCACGAATCAATGAAAACGATAAAGTTAGAATCTGGCTCAGAATAAGATCTTTGTCTGATTAAGAGGGTTTATCCAACTGCACTGAGGTGGATGAATATGCTCTTCTTTTCAGACAGAAATCTCAGACTTCTTTATTTCATCTTCTTTACATAGCCGCTGCTCTGATTCCCACACTTATCTCCCACCATTACCTTTCCCCATTAATAAAGTACTTTCGGATGACTTGCAGATGAAAGGAGACTGAGCTTTTGACGTAGGATCACCATTGATCTGGCAAATAGGAGGTTGTTACCTTAAGGAATGGGTTTGGCAGCCTGTTGAGGGAGTAGGTACACACTAGCTAAGTCTTTAATAGATCACCCTCTCAACAGAAAGATCAGAGATTGACGTCTGCCCTTTTGCCTTCAAAACAGCTCTTACAAGATGCTGCAGCCAAGACAGCAGTGGGGAAACCTCCACAGCGACTGTCTCTGCTCTTCTGGCACCACGTATAGAGGCAGAAAAATCACCTCCAGCACACAGTGCTCTATCGCTTTCTCTTCCTCTCTGTGTGCACATCTCATGAAAGGCGTTTATTTTGGTGTTTGTGACACCACGTTTTGGAAGGCTGCATTGCCCTAATGACGAAAGCC